CATCATGAGTTCCAGTTTAACATGTCTCCTTCTTCACCACTCCTGACATATCAGCATCACAAACACATAGGACAGCAGAACATGCAGCTCCTTCCACAACATTGTTGAGTTTTACAAGGAGGTGACATTTCTCTGAGGAAGTGCAGTAAGAGATACTTCCACCTCTGCAACTTGAAGGGGAAGTACAGGGAATATATTGATTCTTGCTCCAAATTGAAGGCAAGGGAAAACAGGGAAGCACTGAAAAGAACATTTGTTTTGTGTGGGAAAGGTAAATGCTGTAAGAGACGTTTTTCTTCCATGTGTATTCAGTCTATGGACTGTTTGTTGACACTCATTAGTTTAGCCCGAAGCAAAGATTTATTCCGAATATGAAATCTTACCTGCCAAGGTTGCAGTTTGGGAGGATCGAGTCTACCTCTGCTTGATGTCATTCTGTGTTTCGGTCTGGATGAGAGAATCTTGTGCAAAGTATATGCAATGGCATAAACCGCATTATAGGTACTGTAACTTTGACCAGTCATGATCATTTCAAAAGTATGCCCAGGAAGGCTCTCCAGACTCTCTTTGCCAGTGCATGTGTCTGTGCTTTCATTGGGCTTATTTGAAACTGAAAGTAAGCAGTTGAATGCCTGTTCCCAAAAAGCCTGGAGGAACCCATCTCCATTTGGAGAGTTGGGGTTTAGGGTCTGAAGGAATTCTTTAAATCCCTGGACTTTTTCTGTGTGAATTGCAAAAGACAGGGCACCATCAAAGACTTGAATATCATAATACCTTTGCAATGTATCTGATGAGAATGCCCATTGGGCTGTCAAAATCCACACTGTGCTCGCTGAATTCTCTGCAATATCTTCAGCTAATGAAAAGAAATATTTCAACCACTTCACAGCTATGATGGTCTGAGATTCTGCACATACAACCAATATATTGACTTCTGAGACCACCAGGGAAAAGGACTTAGCCCGAATGGGATCCAGTGAAATAAAATGATCCATCCCTTGTGATATGGCTGGTATTTTTTCCTTGAAGGCTGTGCAGACTCCATGCTGGGAAAGCATTGGCCCTAAGATTTGCATAAACTTCTCTCCATTTTCATCATCTGAAGCAACAAGCCCGACCCACGTCCATTGGAAATGAAGAAGTAGCTTGACAATCCCTGCATATTGATATTTCTCATTGGGCACCGTCCGGAAGAAGGTTTGGAGCTGCAACTCGGTCCTCCTCACTGGAGCTAATGCACAATAAGCAATCTAAGGAAGAAATCAACCTCACAATTATGGGAGGGTTATAGCAAACGGTTAGGATTTAACCCAATCAACTGCCTGAAGTGGAACCCAAGTGAATTCATTGAAGGTAAAAATATATTCTTTAGTTTTTGCATATCGGAGGAATTTGGATGAATGTAAGAAGAGTTTGGATTTGATACCCCTCTATATCACTACCCGAAGGAGTCTCAAAGCGGCTAACATTCTCCTTTCCCTTTCTTCCCCACAACAAACACTCTGTGAGGTGAGTGGGGCTCAGAGACTTCAAAGAAGTGTGACTGGCCCAAGGTCACCCAGCAGCTGCATGTGGAGGAGTGGAGATGCGAACCTGGTTCACCAGATTACGAGTCCACCGCTCTTAACCACTACACCACACTGGCTGTAAGGACAAGTTCCTTGTTTTGGAGGTGTTACAACATAAAACACTGAATCCATTATGCATCAATGACATCTTGGTCAGTTTTATCATTTACAATGAATTATGTAGAAAGTGAAATATTTCTTAAGTTATATTAGATCTATGAGGATGAAATGCTCAAATCTTTTGTTCCCTAATGCCAACAATAATGTCACTTTCCTCCCAGAATCATCCTTTTGATTAACTAATTCGGGTTCATAGATAATGTCAACTAATTTCATTGAAAGCAGCAGACATTTGAGGAATATTCATTTTATTCATTTTATTCTTCAGTGGTTGATTATTTTGCAAACCCCCCCCCCATAGATCGATCAATCAATCAATCAATCTTTATTGTCGTCAAAGACTAGACAGCAAAGTTAACAACAGCAACATATGCCACATCCACATGAAGAAGCTGATGTAATAAAAAAATTCCCTATAAATTTATTTAAATTAGGTAACATTCCTTTTGATTAAATCTGTATTCTGGAGGTTAAAATCCGTACTCATTCACCAGCCAGCACCGCAGCCTATCTTGTCCTTGTTGCCATAAAACAGAGTTTTGCAACAGGCCTGATGATATTCAGATTGTTTTGCATCCCCCCTCTTCATGGGGTATTTTGCTTATCTTGACTGCAACTACTTGGAAAGATGAAGAACCCCACTAAAGGAGCACAAGATCTTGACATCTTCCTGCAAGTTCTGCAACCTTGGAAGGAAGGACACCTCAAGGGAACTATGAATGGATTGTCTATGCATGGATTGTCTGTCAAGAAATTGATATGCATGGATTGTCTGTCAAGGAACTATTTTGCACTTGGACATCATGTTTTATTTCATGAGTGAGGAACCTATGGCCCCCCAGAACTTCCTGAACTTCAAGTCCAAGTGCTCATCTTTGACTATTGAGCTATACTGGCTGAGGCTAGTGGGCAACATATGGACAAGCAACAGCCATTTCTGATGAGACAATTCCGGGAACAGGAGAGAAATTCGCTTCAAATTGTTGAACAAATTTACCTGTTTTATTTTGTTGGAAGCTGACCAGAGTGGCTGGGGAAACTCAGTCAGATGGGCAGCATTTGTGAACCAAAATGCAGCTTACTGGGAGAAGGGGAATTCCTATTGGTGCATTGGCACTGTACTAACCTTCCTCCCGCTTCCCAATCCGCCAGACAAGCTTCAGGGACACATGTGACAGGAGGTCAGGCAGTCATCCAACCCTTCCCCTACAGCCACAACTGTATATGGTCACCATGAGTAACAGTAAACAAGTAATGAGTAAACAACTCTTTATCTTTCCAGGTAGGACGTTTTACCGAGAAAAAATGAGCAAATCAGATGCTGTTCTATCAGTAATATATTTTTCTATCTTTCTTCTTTTTCAGAAAAGGGAATGTCAGGGAATGACATCGGAGCTAGAGGCGGAGGGAAAGCTCTCAAATGATACTGGAGAAGGGCCCAGCAGGGAGAGAGGCAGCTCAGCAGATGGGGAAGCAAATCAGCGCAACACCAGGGATAAAGGGGGGGCAGATGGGGGAATCGGCGAGAGGGCTCCAGGACTCTTCACCAGACACCAGCAGGGAGAGCACGGGTCCTCCGCTACCCACGCCCTCCCTGCGCAGAAGACTTCCATGCAGAGAGAGTAGGAGGAGACTGGGTGTCAAACAACTTTTATGTTGGAAAAGGTTTAAGAAACGCCCACTGACGGATTCTGCTAGCGACTGAGGCAGCCACGAAGTGAAGGGCTGCCCAGACAGAAAGGTTTAACAAGGCAGCATAGCCAGGAGAGGCGGCAACTTACGCACGAGCAACACATTCTCAGTACAGGGAACCAAAGTAAAAGAAAGTATGGAGAACCCAGAAGAGAATTATTGTACCAGAGACAGAAAAGCTCCACTGCCCACACACTCACTATACCTGTGGGATCTTGTAGATGCCTAAGATCGTAGTCATGTGAAGTGAGATGTCAGAGTCAAGTGCTCCAATAACAGCTATCATATTTCTTTTCTTGTCACATTTGAAGTTGGGGACAATACTTTCTGTGGTGGACAGAAGTTTCAGGGTGTTCTGATAAGTCATCCTTGCATTTAAATAGCTATCATAGAGGTGGAACCCAAAGCTCATATTTGGTACGATGTTGGGGTTCTCATTGATTTCTTTCACAGCAAACACCAGAGAGAGGGTATTCTGGTAGTACTTTGGTGCTCCACTAATAAAAGAGTTATACTATGTGTCAGAGATATTCTCCTCCTCTACTTTTTAAGCATGTAGCTTACTTTCTGGCTTTTTCAGCCAAATTCCAAAAAATTAAATAAAACAAATAAGCAAACAACACATATGCATTGTGTCTCCTAACAGTTGATAATTGAAACCCATGGACAGTTAGGCAGGGTTTCTTCCAGGCAGACAAATGAGGAACAATATCAGAAATATTATCGATATTATAGAATACCTGGAAGTAAGAAATGAAAAACAGGCAGCGTTGGTGTTTTTAGATGCTGAGAAAGCGTTTGATGATATCTCATGGAAATTCATGAAAAAAGTTCTAGAGAAAATGAACTTTGGTGAAAAATTTAGGAAAGGGATTCAAGCAATATATTCAGATCAAAAAGCCAATTTAATTGTATATCATATGCACTGTGTCTCCTAACAGTTGATAATTGAAACCCATGGACAGTATTCAGTCAGCTTTAGGAATAGAGCATCTAACAGGTGTTTAATTTTGTGCAGAACATTCACATCCTGCAAGATACACAGTACATAAGTTAATTTTTTATCTGGAGGTGTACCACTGGAGCTTCAAATCATGGCCCCTCACAGGTAACTAAAGCAAACAGCAATTGCTTCTTGTATGATGCTGCTGGGCAGGAGGACGGTTGTATTAATTTCAGTGGGCCTCCTCTGCATATAACTCTGTTAGATATAACCCTTTATTTTGCAAAGAAAAAGAAGAAGATTGCAACACTGCTGTTTTAATTGCACAGTATTGTTTACATTGTATAGCAAGGAATATAATCCAAAATCTATGATATCGCAGCATCTATGACTGTCAGATTAAATGATGGTGACTGTGAATGTGGGGATCAAGCTTTCCTGTAAAGTAAAACCATCCATCCATGGTGGGACAGAAAACACAGAGGGAGGGTGAGGATCAAGCATGAGATCAGGTGAGAAACATGAGATCAGGTGAGGAGAAAGCAGAAGAGACAGAAGACAGAAACCTCCAGATGAGGAATAAAGCAACATAGGAGAAGATGCCAAGATCACTATAGAAGAAAATGTATTTTTAACCTTTATACTTGGAAAAGTCATATGCAAATATTTTCTGAGCATGCCATGGTTTGTGTAGTGTAGTTGTAGCATAGAAAAATGTACACTATGAAGGAGAGAGTGATTTCCTTACTAAAGTTCATCTGTGAACTTTGTGTTTGGGTGGTCCTGGAAATCTATATCTTCAGAAAAATAGCCAAAAGTATTAACAATTCCTCCAATGATTAGGTCCCCTCTCTGATAATACTGGTATGGAAGCTGGAATGGATCCGTCATGGTGCATGTCTCAGAGTCTTCCTTGCACTCAGTTGGAGGCATCTGCAGCCACAGGAAGAGAAGAATCATCAGCAGAAATGTTCCTACCATCTTGACCAACAGTTATGCAGAAAGACAGATTTCTCTCTCATCCACCATGAATTGCATTAGGTTTAATGGCACTGGATTATTTTAATAAAGGGGATGTGCCAAAGATCTGTTCCATGAAATCCTTTGTGTTCAGAATTTCTCACTGGGGCTCTAAATGACACAGGGTTTATTTTATATACACCTTGTGTTTATGATATAATGTATGTGGGATTTGGCAATATGATGAAACCCACATTTCGAAATAATTACTTGTTCCAAAGTGATCTCCTTAGAGTATTGTGCTCTGTAAGGGAAAACAGTAACAGCAAAATAATCATATGTATTTGTTATTGAACGGTGCGCTGGTAATTGTGAGTGTCGCATGCAAGCATGCTTCCCCCAGCTGAGGGCTCTTAGGCTGGATCTAAAAGCGTCAAAGAAGCAATTCAATTAAATGCGCTGGAAACTCATACAGGGAAATCCAGTAGGGAAAGGTGGGTCTCCACATGTTTTTTGTTTGGCTTTCAGCCTTTTAATTATCATTTTTTCTTTAATCAGAAGTTGGGTTGCAACTGGCAGATATATAACCTAGGGTTGCCGCATTTCAAGAAGTAAAAATCCTGACATTTGTTGAGCCCCAAAATTGTTGAGCTTCTTTTCAGTGGTTGCCCACTCACCCCCCCAACCCAAACCACCCACAGCTGTGCCAGAACCCGGGGCCCAAACCTGAACCCAAGTCACGCCTTCCCCGCTGCCCAAAAGAGAACATGTTTGGGAGGAACGGTGCACAGCCAGACAGCACAAATACTGGTTTGAACTGAGCAGCAACCAGGAAGAACAGAGCTTGTGAGGTATTTCCCCACTGTCTGGATGCTGTCAGCAGCTCCTGGCTGGTTGCCCAGGGAAGTATAAAGACAAGGAAAAGTTTCTTACAGTCTTTTTTATTTCAAACTTTACAGAGAGAGGCTATGGAACCCATCCTCTTGGATAATGGCATTGTCCCGAGTGAATCTCCACCCCCCGTCTCTCCCACTTCCTCATTGGTCATCATCATCACCTCCTCTACAGGTGCTTCTACGTGCCCTCTGTCTTTGAGCTCTTTGCTCCCCTACTTTTAAAGATCGTCAGGTTGTGGGAGATGGAGAGTCTGGGATGCTTTCTAGTGACAACATGTCAGCCAGCTGCTGCTCTGGCTCTCTCATTAATTCCCAACTTTTCCCCTCATCTGCCTCTGAGCTGTGACCTCCCACAAACCCCTGTTGTAAAGCTATACTGTTTCCTCTTCCTTTCACCCTGGAACAGTCAGGATGGGCAGGCGGTCTCCACCGCTTCTCCTCTTTTGCCCAGTCCCCGACACCCACCCATTTCCTCATCCTGGATCCTGGTTTGGTGGCCATGAAGGCCAGAACCACCGTGATGGTTTTGGCCAAGACACAAGACACCACAATAGAGAAGATGATGTCAAAGGCCGGTTGTCATAAAGAGCAGCTCACTGGGTGAGGCTGGCCAATGAAGAGCAAGGAGCAGAGGAAGCAGAGCAAGAGGGCAAGGAGCAGAGTGTAGGTGAGGTCCCAGTTGTTGGCTTTGACAATGGCAGTGTCCCCGTTCTTAGAGAAGACACCAAGGACCAAGGCTGTGACCAGAGTGAAAAGCAGAGCTTCATTGAAACTGCCTGACAACTCATTATTATCATTAGTTTTTAATGTTTACTGTTTTACTGTGATTTTATAATATGTTGGGGCTAAATATTCCTGGTAAGGAAAGCCGCAATAGATCTGGCAATGGTCAGAAGTCCCAAGCCCCCTAGACCCAATAAATCATTATAAGACACCATTCATTGCATTCCACTATTATTTCTTCTGCTCAGGTGCGCATGGCAAAGCTCGGATGTGGAGGAGCAATAAAGAGCCATATAGCACAAAAAATGACTGGTATGAAGGAGCAGCCAAGAAGAATAGAGTTGGTCAGTCTTTCCCCCACCCATTTCCTCATTCTGGATCCTGGTTTCGTGGCCATGAAAACCAGAACCACCATTATCGTTTTTGCTCGTATCCATGAAACCACCACCAAGAGGGTTATTCCAAATGCAGTTTGTCCTGTTTAGTAGGTTACTATGTAAGGCCAGCCAAGGAACAGCAAGGAGCAGAGAAAGCAGAGCATCAGGGAGGAAGAGCAGAATGTAGGTGAGGTCCAAATTCTGGCTTTGACAATGGGAGCATTCCAGTGCTTAGGGAAGACTCCAACACCAAAGACAAACTCGGAGAAAAAGGCAGAGCCAAAAAATATCAAGTGATCCCCATAAGTTCTGAGAATGAGAGAATATTGGGTTCTTGGGAATGCATTGAACTCAATCCTTGTTTGGAAATTGATCTGGGCATTTGAAGCAATGGTCCATGTCTGAAAAAATGAAATGATACATTAACTTCCAGATTTCTTTGAATATTTATTATCCTGGGCATAATGAGGTGAATGTATTAATATTATGTCATTGAAATATTTATTTTGTTCAGATGCATAAATCTGATCCATTAGATGAGGAGAAACTAATAGAAATATATAGTGAAATGCCACAGATGTATACATGAGACCCATGAGAGCAGCAAAATAACCATACAACTGTGATGGGATAGAATCAGGCCAAATCTTGATTGACAGCAGCAGGCAGGTTAAGGGTTGGCATGGTACTGAGTCCTAGGATCAGTCCCTCATTCCACAAACATGTTGATAGAATGGATCTGCCGGGTTTGGACCACCCCAAACCTGTTCTATGGGAGTCAGCCAGTGTTGAACCTTCCCACGGTTCAAGCCAAGCAAACCAGGTCTCACTGGGCAACCAGGGTGCAGATTCCAACCAGGCAGATACCCCAACCCAAGTTTGGGAGTGCTGTGGTCAGCCCCCCAAGCCCCTTATAGATCCCCCTATACTATATTGATTCCCCCCATACTATGTTGATCCATTGCCAATTCTGCCACAAGGGAGGACCTACTGTGGTCCAACTCTCGCCAACCTGCCCCCACAACCAATCCAAAAGGCCTGAACAAAAATCTTCCAACAAATGTCACTTTCTAACAGGTGAACTCCAGCCAGATGAAACAAGTCTGCAAGCCCAACTTGATCAGGGGGTGACAGATTACCAGGCCCCCTGTGCCATTACAACGCGTGCCTCTGCCTTGGTGAGCCGCCATTGTCCCATATCCACCATCTGCGAGGTCCAAGGTCCCCTCCAAAGGCATTGTTGCAACCAATATGACCATGTGATGCTCACTTTCATGTGGCTGTCAGACAATCGAACAATGTCTTTATAAATGGCCAACTCTAAGTCAATAGTCTCCCATGTACACAGATAGAACTTGCTAAGCTGAGTGACTAGCAGCTTAGCCCAAAGAGCTGGATGCAGAGCTGGTGAGACCACAGCTTCAACCCTGCATGTTGTTCTGCCCAGAACACTACACTGTGCCCAATGATCCACACCTGTTTACAGCCTGAAAAAGAAGTGGAATTACTGGCAGCATGGTGCCCCTAGGGAGGTTAGGACCTAGCTTTGGAATGCACCCAATTACCAATGGACCACGACCACTATCTGCTCATCACTAAGCCCCCAGGAAGCAGCAGAAGTAGCAGCGCCAATTCGAAAAGAGTGAGCCCCATACTCCTTAGGGGGCTGCCCCAAGGCCCCCAGGGCTACTCCGAGTAACCCAGCCACCTGAAACCTGGTTAACCCTGGTCCATTCTGGTGATTGAACAGCTGGCTGCCAACAGTGGGCTGCAAGTTCAAAAACCCACGCATGTCCCAGAGAGGACATGGGCCACAACAGGACAGAGTCAGAGCAAGATGCTAGTGCCCCATTGATCAGTCTTTGAACATTTAGGAACCCTGATAACTCTGAGTCATATTCCGGCATTGCAGGGGGTTGGACCAGGTGGCCAATGAGGCCCCTTCCAACTCTTAATTCTATGAATCTGTGAATCTGTACAGCTGACATCACGGAGGCATAAGGCTGCATCGGAAACATCAGTTTTGAAGTGGCAGCGTAGTCACTCTCCCTGAGGGTGCCAAACAAAGGCCAGTATGAATGCCAGGGCTGAGGTAAGCTCCAAACTTCTATGCCAAGCATTCCCTGGTAATCTTGGGATAGTGGCCTTTGTGTGCCAAAAGCTCAAATTCTTCTTCATGGCTTCCTCCTCTTAGGAAGAAGACTCACTTGAACTTCCATCAGTGCCAGAGTCTGATGGCACAGCAGCAGCATCTGGTGGCAGGGGCATAGGAAGGAGGGGGCAGTGGGGGCAGGCCACCCTGGGTGTCATCCCAGAGGGGTGTGACAAAATCCCCCCTGGTGGATCATTGCCACACCACAATTGGCCCCATGGGTAGGTCACCCCGCCCCTGGGTGTATGGTATGTGCGCCACCCCACTGCTGCCTGGTGGAGGATGAAGACTCGATCCCACTTTCCCCACCCCTTTCCAAGGGCTCATGGGACAGCTTTTATCCCATCAGCCCATCACATGGACAGGATATTGGGCAAAGCCTTGCCCAGCATTTTACTGCAATCTATGGGTCCCAGCACTGCCAGGCAAAGGCGTCCCACAGTTACTGGGTGTGGAATAAGGTTTATTGGCAACTTTGTTTTTGCAGTTCTAGTTTAGTAATAAAGTTTGGGATGCTTCCAGGCAGATTCCAACAGAGGTGCTGCCATTTTGATGACATATTTGACATGACCACCACCAGCAGTAGTGGTGGTCAGGGGACTTGCTCAGTCTTTAATTAGTTAAACCTGCAGTCAGGAGGGGGAAAGAAGCCAGGGTCAGGCTGCCTGCCTGTGTCTTCACTCCCTCCTTGCCACCCACCTGCCAACCTCAGGGCAGCCCTAGATCTCTCTGGGTGGGCACAATATAGGGCTGCCTCAACACACTCAGGCCAAATCCCAGCTCAACACAAGTTGGCCCCATTTTGTCTAGAATATGAGATCTGACCAGAATCCATGCACAGACCTAGATTATACATCCCACAATTAACTCAGGAGAGTACTAACATGCTCCTGTGACATTCAGAGTTGTGTGCTCTGTATAAATCAGCAGGTGATGTTTTTCACAAACATTGTCACCTGCAATATTTGAAGATTCTCGAAAAGCAGAGAACATGGCGCACAGGTAAAAAGATGGCAATCCTACTTGGTGATGCTGTGTAAATCTGTACTTTATGCTGAAGAGCTGTCTTGCAAGGAACACAGATGTTCAGTGATGATGTCATAGCTAAAAGAGTGAGATTTTATGTGTACTCAAGATCACCTAATACGGAAGATTCACTTTTTAAAACTACCTTGTAATCATGGTAGTAAAAGGGGGGCATGATTGTGCAACTAGGTTGATCTAGGAGGAGATGGTCTTTCCAAAATCCTGGTCCTATGTTGCTTAGAACATTATTATTATGGGTACTTTGAATTGTGCCTGCAAATGTACTGGCAGCCAATGAGATAGTTTGAGCAGTGGAATCCCCTTCTCCAGGAAACTGGCCCTGGTCCACAGCCCGACCACAGCATCCCAGGCTAGATGCGGCTTCCAAATACCGTATTTTTCGCTCTATAGGATGCACTTTTTTCCCTTCAAAAATGAAGGGAAAATGTGTGTGCGTCCTATGGAGCGAAGACGCCATAGCCCCGCGACCCTCTCCCGGCTGGAGAGGTGACGCACGGCTATGGCAGGAGCCTCTCCGCTGCGCCTTTCCGCTGCTCCCTGAACTGCTCTTTGGGGCTGGTGGTGGGCTTCCCCCCGCCAGCCCCAAAGAGCAGGTCGAGGAACCTGAAGCCTGGAGAGCGAGAGGGGTCAGTGCACACCGACCCCTCTCGCTCTCCAGGCTTCCAAGGTAGCCGCCTGAACGCACCTTAAACGGCACCTTGTTTTAGAGCGGGAAAACAAGAGGGGCAAAGTTCTTCCCCTCTCTGCCCAGCGCCTCCTGCCACTTCGCTGAAGGGGCGCTGGGCAGAGAGGGGGAGAATTTTTTTTTCTTGTTCTCCCCCCTCTAAAACAAAGTGCGTCCTATTGTCCGGTGCGTCCTATGGTGCGAAAAATACGGTACTTTTCAGAGACAGTCCCACTTTAATGGACAAGTCCAAACTTAGTGTTCAAATTTTAAGCATTTCAGTGTGATGGGATACACATAGGATATTTGCCTGGCTGAGTGAGAAACTTTTTGTGTTGTTGATCAGCTCTGCCTGGGTGCTTCTGGCCCCAGTGAGATGTTGATATGACATGTCAGAGACAGCAGATGCGTCCCAGAGAGAGAAGAGCAGGTTTCTTTCTCTGCAGGAACTCGATTATCAGCTGCTTGCCAAAGTTTATTTCATATTTAGAAAGCTGGCTGCTGGCTTTAATTGTGCTTTCTGTGGGCTTCCTGACAATCACAGCTTTGCCTTGC